GTACTACAGTGACAGAAAACAGTAAACTTCATCCAGGCGAATGCAGAAAATGAGGCGATATAATGTCATCAGCATATCTTCTTAAGACTCCTAGCTGATTTTTACTTTTTAAGTGAAAAAAAAGTAAAAAGCGCTGCTCGTTCATGTTTTCGGTGCAAGTTAAAGGAGCACAGCTCTTCTTTTATTTTAAAACATTTTAAAAGTCACACTCCTGGGATTTTTGCTATCTTTTGTTTTGAAGGTAAACAGAAAAAAAAGAAGCATGTTTAATTAAATATTGTCTCTTTTCCTCTCTCTTTTAAAAAATTTGCAATAAGCACCAATACAAAAGGTAACGAGAAGTTTCAATTAATTTTCTTTTTTTTTTTTTTTTCAAAAGGAGACGATTAAATGTTTCCGGCCCGCTAAAGTGTTCATTTCAGGGAGAAAAGGGGGGGAAAAAAGGAAAAAAAAAAAAAGAAGAAGGCGGCGGCGGAGGGGGAAACAAAAAAAAAACCCCAAACCCACAAAGCTTGGGGAGGGGATGAAGTAGCAAGGCCTCAGCAATTCTTTCAATTCCAGTGCACACCCAATAGTGTGTCGGGAAGAATGCACACTGGTCGGGATTTGTGGGAGAATTGTCCCGCCACAAAGGAGGGAGAGTTACGCTTGTTATAGTCCAATAAGCCATGCCAGTCAAACAAGTACCCACACTAGGGACAAAAGGGAAGCAAGAGATTCTCACACAAAAGAAAACAAGTAAGCCCATCTTTTAGTTGTGCATCAGCCTCCAGGTTTTCTGCTGCATATAAATAAAAATGAAGAGGGGGGAGGTGGGTGTAGGTACGGGGTGGGGGGAATAAACAGCTTTGGGAGGCTGAAAAAAAAAAATAAATCATGCCGGAATGAATTTTGGGAGGATTGGGAAAAGAAGGCGGCGGCGTTAGGCAGAGCGCGCTCTTTGTGTTGCAAAGGTTGGGTAAAGTGAGAGGGAAGGAAAAGGCGGACAATGAGGGCGACGTTGTTGGGGCTGGCTTGTTTTCCATGACGGAAATCAAAGTTAGTGAGAGGGAAGGTGGAAGGGGATGAAGGGACAAAGAGCCCCCCCCCCCCCCCTTCCTCCCTGCAAAACCTACTTGGTGGCAGCAAGGGCCCTGCCATTTTGGAAGCATGAATATTCATGACTGACAAGTTACGTCTAACGCTTACATGGCTGTAAACCCTGAGAGGTATACCCCGGCTAATTTAATTAAATGTTGGTGGAAGGGGACGGTGTACCTTCCGTCGGGAGCGGCGGAGGCCGAAGGGGCAGTGCCATGGAACGGACGGGGCTCGTCACATACCCAACGTATCTGCTCAGTTGTACGCTCACGCCTCATCTCAATGGTTTGATCAAGGTTAGATGCTGAGATTAAAATAGATCCTAATACATCTGCCTGCCTTTCATCACAGCTTGCGCGCGTGCTAGTTGCTCGGCTAGTGGTTTGCAAAAATATAGAAGCAAATAATTAAGCATTATTCCTTTACTGGCATATTACGGCAATAATGGTAGATCTAAACGAACGTCCCCCTTTCTTGACAATTAAAACAATTACAGCATAATTAGGCCTATTTCAAAGTTTTCTTAAGTAATTTGACATGCCAACCATTTACATTTCAGCTTTTTATTGGCTGAAAAGTCAGTCGTGAAACACAAACACACCTGTCAGCAATTAAAAAGGAAGAAATAGAGAACTGTTCAGGAAATAATATCTGTGCTAATTAAAAACACTAGTTAAAAGCTTCCTGTTTGTTCCTCCGGTTGCCCCAAGGAGTGACCTTCCCCCCCCAACCCATTTTTTCATATGTTGCTAACATGGTTTCCCCATCTCCTGCTTCCAACGCATGTAACGAAGGCCCATGGACAGAGGCAGTCATTTTGCTTGTTAAGACAGTTAGAGAGGGAGTCAGATACTTACGCTTCGATTTTTGACGGTAACACTCTGACATCATTATTGGCTCTTTGTTGACCACGGGAGAAATAAATGTGGGTTTCTTTATAAATGCAAGGTGTTCCACGTATGCTTTTTATGCAGCACATCTTACGTACATTTAAGTGGATGCATTTCCCAGTTACTTATGCCAAGCAACAACGTTACAGGGCATTTGCAGCCTTCCCTGTAACTCAGAGCCATCCATCTCTATGCCTGTGGGAACTTGGCCCAACAGCTTCAGTCAAAAGCTACCGTGTTGTTGGTACTCACCCATCTCATTTCTTCCACATTTTCAACCTTTGGCAGCATCATGCTTGAAGGAAGGGTCTGGGACTGCAAAAGCACCTCTAGATCTTCTTCTGCAAGACCGCTGGACACGGAGTTTATCCTAACACACTTTTCGGTATGGCCAAAGTCAAACTCTTCAAGGGTTTTCACAACAGTCAGCCTTGCTTCTCTCTACAACAGATACGAGTTTAGAGGCACAAGAAAAGAAAAAGAAAGCGTCTTTTCTATTGACAGAAAAGTGCACTGAGCAGTGAACTTGTTGAAAAGACGTGGGGAAAGAGCTAGACAGCCGGTATGTTGGTGTCCCCAAAATGCCTGTCACTCTTGGACTTTTATTGAAGCAGTTGTCACCAACACCTCGCAATTTTACCTTCCTCCTTTCTTTGTAACTGGTAAATAAAATGCTTGGGCTTTATGCCTAAGTATTTCTACGCCACCACTCGTAGAAAACAAGACTGTTGTGTTCACTAGTGCCAAACATGTCTAACAAACACAAATCTTTATACTAACCACGATGTGTTGCACTAAGAATCTGCTCTCACAAAAATGGCATGTTATTAAGTTTCCCGAAAACAATTCATTTTTGTAATTCATCTCTATATTGCCTGGACGTCAGCAAGCATAGATGTACATATACTTCTTTGGTTTCGCTACATAATCTTCCTTTTCTCTATGTATCCAAAGTCTATTAAAGCTTGTGGTAGAGTTCACAACTCGCATGTGAAAACAACGCCAAAATAACTCGGGAGATTTTTCTTGAACCACATAAAAAGCCATTCTCCTGCTGGCACAAAATAAAAATCTCCAAAGACACGCGCTTCCCGCGGCCGTTCGTTATTCTTGTGAATGTAAATTTACAAAACTGTTTAGTAGTTGATTTGCATGAAGAATACTTGCGTGCTTTTCTGAAATGAAACACGTTTCTCGGTCTGGAGAAGAAGCGGAGGCGGGGGGGCGGGGGGAAGGAGGGCGCTGGGCTCCCCGCTTCCCGCCAACTGCAGCTTCAACCCCAAATTCCTTCCACTCGCCAACAGCCCCTAACAAATTCGCATTGTCAAAACGCGCACTTATCAAAAGTCATTTCATTTGTGAAGAGTTTTTATGGGGCTAATAAAACTTTAAAGCTCCTGACTCACGGAGCTTCAGGAACGACTTTAACAATATGCCGTCGCCGAATAGAGACGCTTTTCAAGAAAACAGGCAAACTCATGGGGAAAAAAATAAAACAAAAATTAAAAAAAAGCATCAAAGTTAATATCCAGGCTAATACCAAGCAGCAAGACAGTAGATTTAAACCAGACGGATGCAAGTCTCTGCCGGCAAGAGGGGCAGAGGTGGTTTCCCAATGTGGTCTGAGTTAACCAGGGTGAGGGAACGGCAGCTTACAGTTGTCAGGTCCCATCAGAACAGGGTCTCCCAGGGCAGCGTAAGACAGCTCCACAGTGTACTGATTTACAGGGCTGGGACCCCCCGATAATTAGGGTAAGTTTAGAGAAAAGCAAGTGATGGCTCTAACTGGTTAAAAGGAAGGAATAATGAAGCAGAAAGTTAATGAAATCTGAAGCAAACAGCCTTCAGCTTGGGGCTACTAGCCCTGCTTCTCCGAAGGCTGGGAGCATATGCCCGGTAATCGGACAGACGGGAACGAGGTGCACACGTAGGCATCCCTGTGCTGCGGTCGAGGGGCACGTTCAGAGGTAATCTCTGGAAAATACAACCCGAAACGTTCAAACTGCTGTGAATCGGACTCTGACCAAGGCCATTAGGAAAGCCGCACAAAGATGCATGCAGTTTACTACAAACACGTCCAGCTGGAAGACAGCTCCAGTGCACAGCCGTCCGGAATGGTTCTTCCAAATTAGGCAAACTGAACCATATGATGCCCATAGCGGGTAATACAAATCCCCCAAATTTCCTTCTCCGACCAGGGGTAATGGGCTTCTAGGGCTGGGTTGAAAGTTTATGGATATGAGGCAGAAGGGTGGCTTAAAAACACGCTCCGAAACCCAATTTATGCTTTTAATTAAAGTCAGATTATCACCGTTTCAGCACACACTGATCCAATTTGCAAAAGAAAGATCTTCCCCAAACGATCCGCTAAGGCAGCATCCAATTCCAACTGAAGGCACAGCTCTAGCAAACTTACAGCCTGATTCGTTATGATTTTTTTCAGATTATAATAATGAGCAGTAGACCGCCTCATTAGCTATTTTTCTCCTCAGGCTGCAAACTCCCTTCCCAAAAAAGACAGATCGTGTCTTTCTAGGTATATTTCCATACAAAGCACTTATTAACAGGCTGTTGCTGTTATCAATTTACATAAACTAAATGTGCAGCCCTCTGGTACGTATCCCAAAAATAACCAACAACTTCACTGAATTTATACCAACCAACAAACATGGGGAGGGGGTTGTTGTTTTTTCCCATATTTTAATAGAAAATATGTTCCTATGTTAGTTAACACACCCATGCCATCTGTTGGGTTGAGAATTGATGCATTTTCTTAGAACCGCTACATTTTAGATCTGTCTGCCTAGACACCCGAGGAATGGAAATATTTCCTTTCCATGACAAAATACTTCTGGTCACTATAGTTTCCACATCAGGATTCAATTTGCGTTTTTAAGTGTGGGACAAACCGAGAGCATTCAGCTGCCAAAGTCAGAGCTTGTGAGGGGGCCGATGCGGTGCTTATCCTTCCTATAACAGAGAAAATCCCACTAACGTTAGTGGGGTGTATCAGGTCCTCACGCAGGCTTCCAATAAGACATTTCATGGGTAAATAAAAAAAAGTACCAAAGCCTCTGACCAAGGGTACTAAAAACGCGGAGGAAAGGGAGAGCCCTTTCTGCCTCATTATGCAGGGAAACGTCGATGCTATTCTTATTGTAGGGTCCACGCAAAAGCTAAAATTTTAAGCTAGGTAAACTACTTCAACATTGTAACAGTAGAGAAAGAAGTAATCCTTGATACAATAATGTCTTTATAGTAGTAGATGCAGGAATAAACACTTTTTCCAAACACTACGTAAAGCCCTCGCCAAGAACGGTCAAACTAGAATTTTTAAGGAACGGTGAAAGAAGTGATTTACTCTGTTCTTCTCACGAGAACTATACAACATTGGATAATACTCTGTCATGCATGAATAGCTGATAAAGAAATAAACGTGATCGTTAAGTACAACAATTCCATCCCCAGGTAGCTCGGGATGGTGGTATCCCCGTTGGGCCCCACGTGGGCTGGGTTCTGAACAACCGAGAAAGACAACAGGGAGCTTCATGGTAAACAGTGGTATTATTAAAATACACTAAATTTGCAACTTGTGCTGGAAAACCCACTGGGAAAAAAACTCCATGTTGGACAGGGTGGCTACTTTAGCATCCCTTCTGTTTGACTCTGACGAAGACATGGGAAGATGTTCATTACCACGCGCAGCTACGCCAACTGGAGAAGATAAAGGTTTCGGTGACACAGCATCGCCGACAAATCCACTGCCACCCAGACAGTGAAATTAAAGACTGGAATACGCGTGTTGCTGGCTCGATTGGCACCCATTAAACCTAATAACTAACCATCCTCACGAGTTCCTAGCTCTGAATTATCAAATCTGCAAAGAAAACAACATCCGTCCACTTTTACACTCCAGTGGAAGAGGTGGTCCCTCGCGGCAGGGCTGCGCGGTCTCGCCATCTGGAGAATAAATCGAGTGTGAAGTACAGTATAGTTTGGGACCAAGCTCCGTGGCGGCAGCCCAGCAGTTAGTTCATTAGTCCCAAACTTGCGGGGATTAGTGCGGTATCAGCTCTACTGTCGGATGGGATCAGGCAGGCAGAGCGCGAGACTTGGGGAAGGGGGTGACGGCAAAGAAGGAGCCCCTCGGGCTTATTTATAAAACTATACAGTATAAGCGCACCTAAATAGGTGCCTTTCTAACAGTATTGTCACAGTCTCCTACCAGCTGAATCAGTACCTTTCCTTCTCTCTTCCCCCCTCTCCTTTTTTTTTCTTTACGTTGTATGTCAAGACACAGAAATTTCCACTTCGAAACAGAAGGAATGCCACAGAGTTGGAAGCTCAGCCACCCACTCACCCCGGACACAGCGTTAATACAGCAATAATGAAGCAAAGACCGTCAGATTAACAGAATTTTGGGGACTGCAACAGCAGACGGAAAAAATGACATTTTCTTCTGGCTTTTCAAATTGCTACGATACCCCACAAACCACTTTTCCAGCACTGTGATTTCTAGACCTGCCTGATTCAGGGGACAAAAAAAAAAATCTCTGTTTTGCTTTATCTTTCTTGCCTGGTCTTACCCCCTTATTTTTCTCAAGACCTTCAGGTCTTAATGTAAAGATAGTGGGTATACTTAAAGATATGTTTATGCATAGATCCTATCCTGTTAACATCTTTTGGTAATAATTCTTCCTATGGGAATGTAAACATACGACGCACTAAAATGGCAGGCCAGAATCTATCACCCTCATTGCCATAATAAGTTTGCACGTTTCAAATAGCAGAGGAAAAATTAATTACTATAATCACAATTCAAGTTATTTTTTGTGACAGGTCTGACATGGTAAAAACGTACAATTATGTGTTAATGTTACTTCCCTGGAGTGGTTTGTTTACAGGACTTGACATTGCTGAATCTTTTGTCACTTATATTAGTGCATACCCTCTGAATGCGTCTCTCAAATAAGATTTTGCAGAAGTGCACATATACTCTATACCCACAGCGGTTTCTGGGCAAAATTGAGTTTCTGCAGAGGGAAAGCCTGACATTTTTCACATGCTTAATTCTCCGTCAGTGAAGTGATGCCATATAGAACGATCCTTCATTTAGCTTCAAATCCACGGATGAGATCGGCAAAGAGAAAAGACAAATTACATCTGTTTTTAAGGAAACAAAGAGAACCGTAAGCGTGGAGCAGAGCGTTCCTGAGAACAGGAGGTGCCTGATTCATGAGACCTGCCTCCTACCTTACATGCATCAGGGACTTCTGAGAACGAATCTTTGAAACGGCAAATATTAATTTCTAGTTAGTCTTGTTAGACTGAAAAACCGCTGTAAAACACGCATACATCGCCAAGCCTTCAGGAAGTTGTTACTAAAACACTTCTTGCAGTTATCTTCAAGCAGATAAGCAGCTGGGGAGTTTTTAAAGACT